AAAGATATAAACAAATTAAAAGGCCCTTTACTTAAATTTTTTTTGGGGTAATTAAATTGAAATGAAAATCACTAAAATGGAAGTTTTATTTTTCTTTTATTAAAATTCGTGCTTACTTCATAACGTTCTTTTTTCTCAGCGGTTCTAATTCCAGAGAATCTCCAGTGTATATCCAGCAGATTATCTATCTATGAATCTATGATTAATTCTCTATTCTCTGATAGATCAGCAGAGGGTTAAAATGAATTTTTTTTATTGGCTCATCAGATTTCGTCATGCTTACATCTAGATCTAGAGATCTAGGCCTATATGACGCTTATTATGATAAGTCAAGTCTGTAAAATCTGCATTGCAACTGCGCTAAACTAAGGAGAGAAACTTGAGATTTTAATCATGTGTCGCTGTCGTGCACCTTGACCTGACCTGGTGGCACACTGCTAACCTTTGACCGTTGACCTTTTGCCGACTTTCGAAAAGCGTAAACACGAAGGTTAAATCCGGAAGGCCAGGTCTGTCTGTGCTACAAGGCTACAACCCGCTACAACTACAAGGCACGTAAGGCAGTGCTATAGATAGATAGAGAGATCGATAGAAGACTGAGCTGAACTGGTTGCCTGAGGGTACGGTCCTTGTCCTCCTGAACTGAATTCTTGGAAACCCGAAGTACTGAGAACGGTACCAAGCGAATTGTTTTTATTTCATCATTGTATTGCCTTTTTAAAATGTTTTGTTTAAATTTTGGCCATTTGCAGTCAGTTAATTAATTGTACATGGCCTCGAACTGCGGCACTGTGTCTTAATTTGTGCCATTTCGTGACTGTGTGTGTATCACTGTGTGGTCCAGTGTGGTGCTATGCTAGATCTATCAGTAGATCTACATGTGCAAATTTTTTGCTTTGTCATTGTGATTGTTTGGGTTTGAAGAGGGATCAGTCTGGTAAGGTCAAGGATAGGTACATTTCCTATTGTCGAGGGCTATCATACTACAGGCTAGATTCTAATTTAAACAATCATTTGAAATAAAAGTTGACTGAGCAAGGCCAAGTCTTTCAATTTCATGCAGATTGAGATAGAAAGTGAGCTGGTCATGCAAGCCAGTGAAAGTGAAGGTAGGCGGTGCTAGACATGATCTCACGATGCTTCTTGTTCTGTTTCATAACATTTGACTTTGACTAGAATCTAGACTAGATCTAGATATCTAGATTCAGTCTATCTCTCTCCCCGGTCATATCAGTCGTAAGACGCAGTGTGCTATTATTATCAGCTGCGAGGCTCGAAAGGCAAAAAAGTGACTTTCCATGAAATTTTTGTTTTTGGATCTATTGAAAGTTTGATGTCTTCTGCTTCATAAGATAAAAATAAACAACTAATCTAGATCTAGATCTAGACCTCTGGATAGATTTAGATCTAAAACCTGAGCGACTGTAAATCGCTAGCCATGTGATTCAACCGCCAAGTGTTTTTATTTCTTATACTCGTACCTATATGAATCTATGATATAACGGCGTGCTTATTGGTCCACAGGGGCATACAATTTCCCCTTGAACATTTATAATTTGCCCACAAAATTGCGAGTTATCTCCCCTGTGTTTGGTCTCTCTCCCCTCTCCCAAATCCACAAAGTCCGTCAATCGAATATTTTAAATTGAGAATGTATAGTTTTCCAATCTAAATGCTAAAAATAAAAAGATGAACAATAGTCGAGTATCTAAGAAGTTGTATACATCTTCATCTTGTTATCCAACACAGTATTAAATATAGAGTAAACGAAGAAATAACTCAATTTATACGGTTAATATATTGTTTGACGAAAGAAGCAATCCCAATCCGGAGAACCTAAATTCTAAATAGAATACTGTTTGCAGGCGATCAAAGTCTACTGCATAACAATAACACTGAACTGCAGGAACACGCTGACAAACAATCAAATCTGTAGAAATGTGTGCGAGATGGAATTCCTCAAGAAAACATTAACAAGAAGGGATGAAGTGAGAAAAAATAAAAGAGAACAAGCTGGGACAACACCACGTATGAAATACATTGAAAAATCAACGACGCATTAAATGACCTATATATGTGGGCCAATAAGCCCCAGCTTATTTGCCCATGTGGGCCAAGAGCAGCCTTGATATATTGATCTAGGACAATGGACTAACTTTATAAAAGAAAAGCTTATATTACATATAAGTTATCCTACTGGACATCAAGAGGCGGTTTACATCTTCCAAAATGTGCGTGATTCAACCACCTAAGTGACAATATGACGGCATCTAAGCGTTTGAATCACATTAATCTACGCCACTTGACAACGCCAATGGTCACCTGGGCGTTTGAGTTTATCGACAAAATTTAAGCAAATCATAATATTTATAAGAGTACTTTTATAAAGTTTTAAGAGTAATTATTTTAGTTATTTGGTTGGGTCTTCAAGCTCATCAACGCCATTTTCCTCCCAACGCTCACATATCAGTGCCAGACATGGACTCTAACAAAAGCCCTAGAGAGGAAACTGGTCACATGCGAGATGAAATGCTTAAGAAGAGCGGTCAACAAAACAAGAAGAGACAAAATTAAAAATGAAGTCATAAGGGACACCGTGGGAGCAACACCAGTCCTACCACACATTGAAAAACAAAAGGTCAAGTGGTTCGGACACCTCACGCGGATGCCCTCAAACCATCCAGCTCTGAGAGCATACAACATTAAATATTCTGGATGGAGAGCCAGAGGAAGACCAAGGCGACGATGGAGTGAATCTGTGGCAGACACCCTTAAAGATCATGGGATGTCCCTCCTACAGGCCACACGACTTGCTGCAGACAGACACCTGTGTCTCCCCGCGACACCCCAGGGTACAAGCGGAAGAAAAAAGTAAAAGTAAAAGTAAGGTTGGGTCTTCTGGGGCAGGAGACTGTTTTTGGCCTCATGGAGTTGTTAAGACCATTCATCTTAATGTTCAGTTGGTACTTGATGTTTTTGTTCAGTGTGTATCAAAGGCTACGAACATTTGTCATTTTTTGTGCTTTTAATTTTAATCAACTTTATTCAATATCATCCACACTGAAATATGTTTATAAATGGAAAATATACAAATTTGAAAAAAAATTACTCTCTATGGGGAAAAATGCTATGTTCTTTGATTTCATTATTTTGACCACGATGTCTCACAATATTTTTAAAAACCTATGGCTAAACTTTCTTCTCTTACTGGCCTGAGGATTTATTTGTTTAGGCCTACGACTGTTTACACTTTAAATTTTTCTGAATGGACTTAAACAAATAAGGAGAGGTTTTGAAGGCTTCAAAGAGCATTTTTAAGTTGTTTCATTTTATATGCTTAATTTAGACTTTTTCATCTTGACTCATACCTTCTGAGGAATGCTATAGGGAATGTATGATTGAAACAGCAAAGATGCTATTGAGTTGATCTGTTGTGAAATGAAGAGTAACTTACAAGATTTAAGAGCTTGCTCTGTGTGGTTGAATCCAGAAAGGAAATGCTTGCTTTCTAACAAGATTTCATAGTTGTAGTGCAAAGTAAACCTTGAATGCCTTTTCTCTGATCACATTGGTCATCTGAGGGGTTTTTTTTGTTTGTAATATACTGCACTGACCCTCTGCTCTTAATCAACTTTTGACCTGGCCTTCCCCCATTGTCTTCCCCAAGTTGTCTCTGTTCTTGTCCTACTCAAGGGTCATCTATAGACTGCAATCTGATCTAGGTCACAGGTCACACTTGTAAATTACGACAATCATTGCTTGTTCTGAACGGAGGGTTCATGACTTTAGTTTTCAACATCTGGTGTTATCAGGCTGTGAGAAAGCCTTCTCGTGATGTGACACTCGTGTTCAGGGAAATATTCAGACTGTCGTTTCCTTTCTGAGGCTGCAAAGTAGGAAAGGGCTACTGCTGAGCGGGATTTTGAAAAAAAGTTTATTTATAATTTGTGGTACCATGCATGCAGAGGTATCTTTTATCATCATGTGTGTTTATCTGACTCAGCTATGCAATTAAAATGTTTCCACTGTGCAATACCAACTTCAGTATCATATGTTTCATCCTGTCATTTTCAGCATATTTAACAGCCGTTGTTACTCTTACTATGATAATATTATGTTTGCATTTTGTTTGAGTATCATATACCAAGGGCTGGTGTGTTCTAACTTCCCACACACCGCAGCGTCTCTGCTGACTTTTACAAGAAAGGATGTAATTTTATATAATATATTTAAAGAAAAAGAATGAGCTGCGCATATTGCATATTCTTCCTCTTCCGTTGTTCAGGGCTTTTTAACTTTCTCATGTATTGGCACTGGTCTCAGATAAACAGTTCCACTGTCCTATATAATATGTATGAAGACAGAGAACTTCCAAACAGTGAAGCAATTTTCACATTTTACTAAGACAAAGTAATGTATTGTATCATGAGAAGCATTGTGTATATTATCCTTTTTTTGGTTGAGGTGTTCATACTATCCCATGTAGTAAAATGTATGTTCTTGAAAGGAATTTTGGCCCTCCATTACGTTTTCTGTCAAGTTACAGTAGGTCAAAAACAAGGAATGGGAAAAAAAAAGAGAGAAAAAAGCACCCCATAGAAGGATGACTGTGTCATTGCTAACCGTGGAAAATGAATATGTGTTTTCATCATGGAATTTACGTTAAAATTGTTTTGCACCATCTTTGAAATATAAAAAAAGTAGTCTGGGAGGAAGGGGAGTTTATAGGTAGGCTTCAGCTCAGCAGTCTGTTGTATTATGGCCCTCTCCCTTCTGGGTTATGAGACTCGCTCATGCATGACGTCCTGACAGTAGTAAATGGAAATAGGAAACACTAAAGTCAGTTGTTGGGGTATCTTTTATTTCTTCTCATGGGATCAGCCTGAATAATGTTCCTCTGTTTTTTTGGAAGGGTTTTTGTGTGTTGTTCTGAGCAAGCTACCTCTAACAGACTACTAGTACTACATTGACACTTTCTTTTCATAATGTACCAATGTTCTGCACGGAATCAGAACACGGTACAGTACCCCCCCAAAAAAATACAAACAGATATTATGCTCCTTCTATAGAAAATTATGAGAGAGAGCTGATAAACCAGTTTATGAAAAAAAAAACCCCAACTACCCAACCGAAGACCATGTATACCATTGCTGCTGTTGTTGTGGAGCTGATGGTTTGACTCTGCTGTACCTTTGTACCTCATGACCTCAGGACTATTTTCCTCCTCCTGTTCCCATTGCTGTTCATTACACATCCTTTTCAAGGAAGAGAAAGAACCTTGAAGAATGACTTACCCCGCGGAGGGGTGCCACTCACTGAAGTGTCTTTAGGCCATTCCCGAAGGGGGGGACATTTCTCGTTTTAATACACAGTAGTTAAATGGGCTGATCCAACAATGTCATGCTCATAAGTGTACCTGAACTGCAACAGGGAACTGCTGTTTTTTCTTTCCTAATCTTTTCTATCGTCATTTTCCTGTACTTCTTTTGTATGTTTGTCACTCTCTTGTGACCCGCTATTTCCGGGGTGCCTTGATAGTTGAAGCAGACTGTGTGCTGTTGAAGCTAGAGAGGTGAGCAGAGTAAGTCTGATTCCCTGTAAGTACTTCTCTGTTGACACCAGCCCCCTGGCGCTCATATGACCTTATGCAGTTGCGAGCGGCGTAAAACCTCTAC